GAATACCATTTTGCCAAAGAAGATAAAAAGACCATCTCTTCAGACTTTATCAAAGGCAGAGGATAGATCTAAGAAAAATAGAAAAGTTTTTTTCTTTTTTTGTTTTTCTTAAGGAGTAGAGTCCATGACGAGTGAAAATATGATCTTCAACTCTTCTGTCTTTTCTAAAGGCTCCTTGAGTTTCACCTAATAAGTTCTTATCTTCAATATAATTCATAATTTTGTCTTCAATTATCTTACAATAAACCTTATATACATTGGAAGTTAAAGTTATTCCCCTGTAATTAGCCAAAACATGAACCGAGCGTCCTTTGTGACTTAACTTTACTATACCTTTATGCCATTCAACTGGAATGCATTCAAAATCGGTTATCTAAGTGAAAATTTCAACAAGGGAATCAACCAGTATATCACCACCGTATTTTAGAAATTCATTGGGTATGTTGTCGAAACCACTAGCTTTTCTGTTTTTGATTCGCTTAATAATTTGAGAAATTTCTTGTCTGTCTATTGAAAACAATAAAGGTGTTTCCGCCTGAATCAAATTGTTATCTATTTTGTATATCAAAGATCCAACATCGTTAACTAATTCGGTTTTGCTATTTTGTATTGATCCTATTGAATTAAAATGATCAGATAAGTCTTTTTTAATTTGATCAGGTTCCTTTAATCTTACACCTGATTTCGCATGGCACACTACCATTTTGCTTTAATTTAAGAAATCCCAAAAGCCTTTAATTTTATTTTTGGAATTTATGCATTTGCTTGTGAATTGTTTCATTTATACTAAACGTTCTTTACTTTTAATAGCTTGGTAAACTTTTTTCTTTTCGGTTTTTATAGATATTTGTTAGTCGCTGGCCTAATTCATCGTCGTGTGGGTGGTTTTTATCATGTATACGCTTAAGTCGATTTGCCATGCGCCTTTGTTTTAATAGTTCATCTAACTCTTTGTCCAAAAACTTCTATAATTCCGAACCGTTTTTTGCCTTACCGATTGAATTTATAGCTGCATTTTCTACTTTTTCTTTCCAGCAGTTCCATATTTGATCAACATGCATAGTTTCTTTACAAAATACATTAGAGTTAGAAAAGTTTTCGCGCAGCTTACTTTCAAAAACAGACCAATTAGTCTTTTCATTGATATTCCAAAATATAGCGTTTGAATTACATTTTGGTTTTAGGGATTTGATTTACGATTTCATGTTTACTCTGAGGATGAAATGGTCGCTATGTAGGTAAAAATTGCCAGATTCATCAATATAGACCCGTGATACGGCTTACGTTATATTTGCGGGTAGAAGAATATAATCAATTGCTGATCTTTGATTATTAAGTATCCTTGTGTAGTGTCCACTACAAGAAGTAAGAGTATTTGCTTTAATTAGCTGAGATGCTTCAACAAATTGACTTAAACGACGGCCATTGTATGAAGTGGACAGTTTCATTATATTTTGCCCGGTAAATTCACATATGTCAATGCATCGCCCATTGAAATTGCCTGTGAGGACAACTTCATAGCCTAATGAATATAGGTTTGAAACATATTCAAGAAGTTTAAATATTATTTCGTCTGTTTTTGGTTTATTTATACCATCATTTGGCAAATAAACTACACCTACAGCCGTTTTCAATACATTGATTCGTGTAGGTACCCATAATCTTTCATAACTATCGTGTTTACTATTTAATAAATTATCAGCGAGAATCGGGTAATTTCATGTAAGCATATTCCTATACCCCCTTTGTGTTTTGCATTTTTCCTACACTTTCTAACCCAAATATAAGACTTTTGAGGGGCGTTCATCATTTTTTTAAAAAGGTCTCAACCAACCTAAAAATTGAAACATTATCATTTAGTAAATGTTTGTTAAACATATGAATCTTTGATGTCATACCGCGAATATTCAGGTAATCTATAACGATTTCGGGTGTTTTCCCTATCGACTTTTTCTTACTGCGTTTATGTTTTTTACCACGTTTATGTTTTTTTCCGCTCACACGATGCCGTATCAGGAAAACCCGTTCTCTCAGAGGAGCCTATGTGGCCATATTCAAAACAATTATTACATTGTACATATTTTCCATGTCTACATACAGAGGCGTATTTCAGTGCACTGTTGACAAGCGGATGATGGTAACTGAAGTTACCACGATCCAAATATGGCGGAGGGGAATCCCCGTAAGATCTTTCCCTCTTAATTTCTTTGTTTTTACATAAATGTGGCTAACATTACTCAGCCGTCGTTTGGTTATTAACATTTGCAATGAGTCTGTAAAATGTTAACCTTAAACAGCTGTCCGTTACTGAGAAAATTGAACACAATACAAATGCGATGATGATGGTAACTCCAAGATGGGATTGTGGTAACTGTCGATCAAAATAGTTAGGAGATGATGGTAACTTTACTATTATACGAGGTTTCTTTTCAATCATACAGTGTTTAACATCACTATACATGAAATGAAACACAATAACCCATCTTAACTGAAACCACTTTATTGGAGTAAAGACCAATACTAGCGCAAGAGACAAAAATGTGTCGGGGAAACAAATTAAAATGTTTTGTAAAATGAAACTTTCTTTAATGCAAATTTTCACAAACAGTGTTGTAATACCAACTAAAAAACTATATATGTTTCAACAAAGAATCAAATAATTAAACAAATGAAAATTCAAAAGACGAAGCATTAAACAGATTTATATGCAATTACTGTTTTTCTTGTCAAAAATGAATAAAAAGATATAGTTTTATAAAAAAAAAAAAAAAACATTTTACTTTGAGGTAATGAAGGAAAAATCAAAAGTTAAACATATCTCAAGAAATTCTAGGCATAAGAGTATGCCTTCTTAGGGCATAACAATATGGGGTGGGGACTTTTTTTCGGGACTTCGAGATTAGGCGGTTTTAAGCTCGGAATTTCGGGATTGATCCTTTTGGGATACGGGAATTCCTATTTCAAATTTCAGGATGTCGGGATTAAAATTTCTTTAAATTCGGGGCCTCTGGATTTCAAGCTTTTAAGCTTGGGATTTCGGGATCAGACCCCCTCCTCCCCTTATTAATATAGTAGGTTTTAAAGTGAAACCAGAGAGGAATCTCTGGAAAACATTTCATACCATTCAAACTTGTCAGACACACATCCTTTAAATCAACTATATATTAATTACAATTGTTAGGTATATATGTCAGTTAATTTCGCAAATTCCTGAAACAAAATGTTAGCCCCCAATCATTCCATATTTTTCATTTTCTAAGTTCATTGCCGGAAAAGGTATTTTTTTCCCTATTGATATCTCAAAATCATATCCCCACACATCCTCATTTATCAAAGCATATAGTGAATAAAAGGAATCGTTTACACATTTTATGTTTTACATAAGTAAAACAGAAATTCTAGATGTTCTGTAATGAATATATTTAAAGCAATTATCAATTTTAAGGACTTTAATTGTGCAAATGAATAATTTTTAAATGAGTGTAGACCAGTGTACAATATAAAAAAAACTTGCAACAATCAAGCTTCTTTCACTTTCGTTGTTGACTTCCAGAGTATTGTCTTTTCGATAGAATACAAAAATATCAATGGTGAATATATATTATGAAATTGGTTATATATAAAGATCCAGAGCGATACTCAGTGACGGATCCAAAAGGGGGGGGGGGGGTGCCGGGGATTGACATCCCATTTTTTATTGGAAAATTTGTCTTTTTCATGTGACAAATTGACAAAAAATGTTAAATAAGGTACTAGCACCTCCCTTTTTTCTGAGAAACCCTGGCTAGCACAACCCTCTTTTTTTCACAGTGTCTGGATCCGCCCTTGATACCGATACGTAGTACTCAATTATGCCGGGGTCATAATATAGGACGAAATACGTAACGTAAATTAATTTAAGGGTGAGGGGGTCCATATATCACGACTAAAATTGTACTTAGTTTGTCGTTTTATACAACCTTTTGGCAAGTTACCACCATCCCAGAAATCAGTTACCACGATCTTTCAAAAATAACATGAACAGTTACCATCATCAAAGTACTTTTTTCACTCACTATTTTCTAAGTAATGGACAACTGTTTAAGGTTAATATTTACAGACTCATTGCAAATGTTAATAACCAAACGACGGCTGAGTAATGTTAGCCACATTTATTTAAAAACAAAGAAATTAAGAGGGAAAGATATTATGGGGATTCCCCTCCGCCATATTGGGATCGTGGTAACTTCAGTTACCATCATCCGCTTGTCAACAGTGTCAGTGGTAGTCGTTGGTTCATGTCGGTCATGCTATATTAACCATTCACAATTTATCTAGAAAAGACATGCATTAGGTATTTACGTCTGTAAATAAGAACATTATTTAAATTCTACGCTTTACTGAAAGACATAGAAGGGTCAACGTGCATATATACATTTTATGATCTTAATACTTCATTTCAATTGACTCTTACAAGAACAATTTCCGATAAGCTATATTTTGTTCTTGATAATTTTGGACTTTTTTCTCTTAATTTTCTTGTATTTTTTAATTAAAGCAGCACTATATATAATTTAATACTGTCAACGTAATTTTTTTTCTGAGTAGGCTACAGTTAATTAATATGTGATGGACTTGACCTAGAGATATGTGCACATAGAGTTGAAAGGGATGTGCTCTTTAAACCTTTCAGAAATTTTATCTTGTGAAACAACAAAAAATAATAGTTTTATGTTACAATACAATTCTTTAAAGACAACTTACATCACAAAAGTAACTTTAGTTTCAATCTTTAGATTTTATTGCGTTTTTCTACTGGACTAGATGAATTGATACTTGGGGTTTACTAACAATTACATTGTGTTATTAATTTAACCATGCAATTACTAGCAATTGTCATATAACAAGTGTTGATCAATTACTGTCTCACTGTCATAATTACTTCTAATTACTAATAAATTTGTCTAGGAACATGTATTTCTTATCTAAAACAATCATGAAAGCTTATCTAACTTAATTACCTCCCCTTTCTCGGATATATTCCATACGACAGAAAACGTAAGTCTATCTTGGTTCGGATTCAAACTGCACAGCTCTTCACTCAGAATTTTGGGTAACATTGGTATTACCTGGAATCATACAACAATAATTTAGACGTTAAGACAGATGTTTACAGTACCTGCATGTTTTGATATTTCAATGATAAATGGAAATTTAAACAAATGTATTTTATAAAAGTTGTGAAAGCGTATTTTACAAAATTGTTGATTTGACTTTACTTCTAGCATATATTTCAGCACACATGAACCTCCACTCAGCACTCAAGACAAATGACAAATCATTCGATTTATAGACCTCTATTTGCTTGTCTAACAATTTTTCATGAAAAAAACGTAAAGAGTTATAAAAAGACAAACACCAGTCTATCTACAAAACACCTGTAGTTTATTTACACGTCCATTGGTTTCTAGTGAATAGGTGTTTCAAGGGCAATCATACCCATCTTTTGATTTTAATATTGTCATATTTGTAGAAAATCGATTGAAACGTGACTAAAAGACATTAACAATTCACAAAACAATACACTGAAAGCTAAGGATCGCACAAAACCGACCCTACCAAATAGAGGGGATGACTTCAAGTGTTCCAGAAGGAAAGACCTGTTCTTTTTGCTATAGTCTACCTGTCGTGCATCTCATTGCAATATAATGATAATCATAATTCTGTCATGTCACAATATCGAAAAAATGTCTGATATTTTTTGATTAATTGTCATATTGATTGCTGAAATGAAATTCGTCTAATTTACCTGCAGTTTCATAGGGGAATTTTCTATTAAATGGACAACGACAGATATAAAAAGGGTTTAATAGCTCACTCTGCTCTTTTAGAACAGATGAGCTAAAAAGATAAATATTTATATGTTTACCTTCTGAACTAGATAAACACTTGTAGCCATGAGACTGGCTCGCTTGTCTAGTGCTGAATCTTCTATCGGAAAATAACTGACATCTGCTATATGGACCCCTACATTGTAAGTCCCTGAAAAAATATACTTCAATGAAGATGCCTACATTTGAATATTTTTTTATTGTTTTAAAACTTTTTATTCATTATAATTTGTGACTTTTTGAGAGAGGTTAAATATAGTGTAAATAGAATAGAGAATAGAAATCAGAAATGAATCATAGAGCAGAAGTCAGCCCAAGGCCACCAGGACATGTAATTATTCAAATAATAGTTTATTGAATTTCTCTTAATTGTGCATCTCTCAAATCTATAAGCAAACAATTCTAAATGTGAGAACTATTTTGACAATTTAACATCACAGACTTGAAATCAAAACTACTAAAGAAAAGGCAAAGAACTCAAAATCTGAGAGATAAAGAATATAAACATATTGTTGCAAAATTAAAAGTGTTTATCCAAGCCTTTGTGTCGCTTTGGTTCTGTGCGTTTTTACCAAAATATTAATTTGAAAAAAAGTCTCTACGTACTAAGCCACTCTTATTTATTTATCTTATTAGCATATCTGAAAATAGTATAATGTTATAAACTACTTCAGTTAAAAACTTAGCTTTGTGATACATACATTTGACAGATCTTTGCTTGTTGCCATCGAGTTTCTCGTTGAATTATTATTCCACAAAGCATATTGTTTATTTTTACCTATTGTAAAATTTCTCAACGTAAGATTACATTTTCCAAGCGACAGTAAAAAAAAATTTCCTTCTTTAAAGTATTTTTCTAAATCACTTTTGTTTTTAATTTAGAATTAAATGAAGTGACATCATTATATTTTTTTACTTATACTTCGGGCTTTTCGTTACTTTTATGACTTCATCGCCCTTATTACACACATTGAAAACTCACAAAATAGTCTGTAATCCAATAATAATCATTTTGCAATATTTTGATTTCCAAGCAGACATATTTCGTGTTTGACCATCATTACATTTAAGAGTCATTATGCACTATAATACTTCAATGTATAGTCCAATTATATTACAATTTATCATCATCATATATTTGCATATCGAATGGTGATTGGTACATTTTAAAATATATCTGAATCTGTTCTTAAATTAAGACCTTGTGTTCGGTGCTATATTTTGAAAGACCTCTTCTGTAAATTCTGAATCATTCACATCATTTTCTGTCAGGATTCCTTCTGTTTCTGCGTATACTTTTCCTTTTTTCCCTAAAGTCCCCCTCAATTCTCTATAAACAAATTTATAAAAATTAGTAAAATAGTGAATGTATCATAGGAAGAAAAAGAGATAAGATACATGAGTGCCAATGAGTCAATAAGCATTCAATGCACATTTTTATTCCGTTGCTCGAGGTAAAAAGCTTTGTGTAACTAAGGTACTACTTAGTAAACATGCTACAGTTGAATATGCCCGTCCAAAGTCAGGATCTTTTTTAGTGGTTTGTATCTCAATGCTATCGTTTTATACTGAACATGGTGTTGATATCATGTCTTTTGTTTTCTGATACTAGTACATTTATTCATTGCTTTTCTAGACTTTGGTAGATTTACATATGTAGATTGTCTATTGATGAATACTGTTCATTGCCCTGTAAATATTTATTCTTGTTGTATTTTCTTATTGTATACAGATGTGGATAATTACAAATAAACCCAATTTCTTTTATGAATAGCAAAGGCAAGACTAAAACCCGTATCTTGACATTACTAAAATTGTTAAAATTTAACGTTACTATAGTATGAATAAATATTTTGCTAAAAAAAAGTATCAATAAAAGTTATAAAAAAACAAAAGTATGTATAATGCCTATTTTTGTAAAATATATTAACAGTTTTATTTGTAACATCTTACTTGTGCGTATTCATTTATTATGTTTATTATGTTATACATTGAAACACTCAGAGATGTGTCCTTACAACAAACGTGTCCTATCCAACAAAACCTGGCTAAATGACGTCATTTTACAGGTAAATCTGTCTTTCTGGTGTAGAATGCTGAAACCTGTCCTTTCGCAAACGCCTAACAGCAAAACTTTCAAAGCATTTGTATCTTTAACATTTATTTGGAGCTGCTGCTTTCATAATCATAAATTACTTTGAAATTTATCTATAGTGTATTAGATTTCAAAGAAATCAAATTTGTTGTAGGTGAGACACTCTTAAAGAATACCGCCTATGGTCAAGCTAGTTTTCCTGAAATTCCCCAAAATAAAAAAAAATTTACGGGAAGTGAAAATTCAAAAGAGAGGCGGAAGATACCAAAGGAAAAATCAAACGCATAAGTCGATAACGAACTGACAATACCATGGCAAAGAAAGAAAAACGACATTAAGACAAACAACAGCACATAATTCACGATATAGAAAACTAAACACTTAGCAACACGAAAGAAACTGGCGGTGATAGCAGGTGCTCCGAAAGGGTAATCAGACCCTGCTCCACGTCTGTCACCCGTCGTGTAGCTCATGTAAGTGCAAACCCGGTGATAAGTCTAAATCGGTAGGTCAAATTTGAGGAATAGAGGACGAGATTGTGTTAAAAAGAATAGAAATTGTACAAAACTTGCTAACATAGGATAGACGACGTTACTAGCGTCATAGAGGTAAACTTAGCCCGTAGAGCATTCAGACGCATTTTGGTGCCATAGTGGTATAATTCGGTGAAAAAATTATCGGACACGTAGTCAGGAGGTAGAAAATCGATATCAAACACGTTTGAGCTAAACAAAATAATCAAAAATATTTATAGGGAATAAAAGTCGACAATTTCAAGCAATAAATGATTTAAAAGATATGCTTGAGCGAAAAGCATATGGGTCGGACATGTTTTTGGGATGGATACGTTTGAGAAAATAACTAGAGACTCTAAAGAGCCTGTGTCGCTCACCTTGTTCTATGTGCACTCTCCAACATTGAAGACCGTGAGAATAGAATTCATGACAAAAATCTTTGTTTTTTTATCTTGTATTGCTGATCATTTAGTCTGTTAAGTTTCTTTCTATCTTCTTTAGTTTTTGCTCAAAACACAAAAGAAGGTGAACAAAAATCCCCATTTAAGGTGGATGGGGGGTCTTAATAAAAATCCATGGAATTTTTTGATAATTTGTCAAAATGTATTTTTATCATGTTTTTTTCTAAAATATAATAAAAAGGATGGGTCGTCGAACTTTTTTTCACGCTACAAGTTGTGCAAAATTGTCAGATTTTGTATAGATTTTGCATGGAAAATCCAATTTTGTGTGATAAAAAGAAAACTACACCATAGAATTTTAAGATAAAATGTGAGAAGATAGCTCTTATAACATGCTTTCAGATAAGAAAAAGCATAACGTACTGATTGAGATATTTAAACGTCATGCTGCGATGGTTTAAGAGTGTATATAACTGCTGAAAATGCAAAATTGACAATTGGAAGGTTTAAATCATCAGGTTTGTCAAAGCTTCTAATTTGTAAAAGAGGAATTTTGAAACTGTTAAAACATGTGATTGAAATAGTGGTTTCCTTGAGAAAAATAAACTAACCAATTCAACACTATAATTATATCTTTGAGTATTGTTTTATCGGTATAGATATTGATTTTGTTATAAGTAAATCAAAACCAAACTAAATTTTACTGTTATAGACATATGCACATTCACTGTTCTACAATCTGTTGACACCTGTTTTGGCTTTGCACAAGGTCGTGTTTTTCTCTGACTGTTAATGACGTCTTTACACTAAATTCATTGGATGTTGATGTGTAATGATTGATATTTTAGTCTTAGATACATGATTTTTATTATCTTTCAGTACCTTTGAGTACTTAGATCTTCACTTCGTGTCTTTTGTGTTTTGTTATGGTTTTTATGTGCTTTGTATCGATCTGATGAGTGAAGCCCTTTTTACTGATTTGTATAGTTTGTTCTTATGTCGTACTGTAACTCCATTGTCCAAGGTTAGGGGGTTGGCGGGGCAAACATGTTTAACCCCGCCACAGTTAGGAGATTGGCAGAGCAAACATGTTAAACCCCGCCACATTCTGTATGTGCCTGTCCCAAGTCAGGAGCCTGTAATTCAGTGGTTGTCGTTTGTTGCTGTAAATCATATTTGTTTTTCGTTTAGTGTTTTTTACTTAAATCATTGTGCAAGGCCGTACTGTGACCTATAGGTTTGAACTTCTATGCCATTTGCTCTCTGGTGGAGAGTTATCACACTGGCAATCATACCACATCTTATTTTTATATGAACATTCTGACGCTTATGGTATACTATATTCAGACCACCTGTAATATGCGGTTTGTCTGGACGTTTCATGTTATTAAAACAAACACTGTCACAACATTAAATGACTTGTTGACAAGTGGACTGTCTTGAATTGCACATGGAGTATTCCAAACAGACGGACACATATCCATAGGGATTCTAGTTCTAGATAATTTGTAATCCAAACGTTTACCTTTTGGACAATTCTTCATAGGAATCATCATTCTAGGTAACCTGGGATCTCGTGGTATAAACAATGCTGTATGTTGATTTTTATTCTTCGTTAATTTCAAACTTCCTCTACATACTCTAGAATGCTTAGGCTGAATCATAGCTACAACCTGCAATATAATTATCATGAAATTGTATTACTACATTTAGAGATTTTGAAACAATGAATTCTAAAGAATTGATGTCTTGCAATTCTTTAGTGTTTTTTTAGATATATATCTGTATATAAATGCATCGTTTTACGACCAAGTTAAAATCTAATCTGTCATTTATGTTTTCAAGAGTTGTTGTCTCATTTGTGAATACTCCACATTTCCTTTTATTCATATTTGATTTAAAATATGATTCAAGATTGTTGTATTTTTTTTTTAATGTATTAGAGATTTTTGGATTTGTATGTCACTCAGAATCAAGACAAAAATTTCAGAATTGCACCTGTATATCTATCTTAGAATTGAGAATGGAAACGGGAAATGTGTCAAAGAGACAACAACCCGAACAAATAGCAGAAAACAGCCCAAGACCTCCAGCTTCAGCTGGCCCCTGAAAACTAAAGTATACTAGTTTAGCGAAAAGGACGTCACACTTAACTCCGAAACATATTAATAAACCAAAATCGAATAAACGGAGAATGTGTCCATGGGACACAGCTAATGACCACGCTTGTATATAACGTTATAAAGGAACATAACAAGAGAACTGTAAAAGTGAAGCCACCCAAAGTCGAATTTTATCAGTGTTTTATAGTAATAAGCATTGTTTATAAGTTTCATAACATTTAGTTGAGGCAAACTAAAGTTAGAGAACGGAAACCAATTTTAGGACGTACGAACGACAAGGGTAAAAAATTAATGCCCCCTTCGCCCAGCGGCGACGGAATAAAAAAAACACAAAACTAACAAAGGCTATAGGTTCCTGACTTTGGACAGACGCAAAAGTGCAGCGGGGTTAAACATGTTTTGTCAGATCTCAACCCTCCCCAATACCTCTAGCCAATGTGGAATAAACAAACACACAGCAATACGCACAGTAAAACTCAGTTTAAAAGAATTCCGAGTCCGATGTCAGAATAGGTAACAAAAGATACTAAGTAAAATGACAATGATCAACATAAAATTTGGAAAGGAATACTAGCAGTTGCTGTCATGGCAGCTCCAGACTTCAATTCAAGTGATAGACAGATTATATCTTCCTCATATGAAAATCAAGCACAATCCCTCTCGTTACAGGTTTAGTATCATGCCATCATAAATTATACGAGAAAAACATAACCCGTATCATGCCAACAACTGGTTTTAGAATAAATGTGTTTATTTCAGATGCAACGACCCTATGAGTGAATAAATGTTAATTCCATAAAAATCAAAACTCCTCCCATATTCATAATGAGCACACGTATCATTATAATCAATAATGTATTTTTTTTTATCAAAATGATCTAAAACGAATTGATATTCAAATGTTGAAATTTTATTAATCAAATACTACCATGAAAGTAATAAGTATTAAAAAAACGTGAATGCGAAGATTCAGAAATTAATGCATTTATCATATATTATAAACATTTAAATAATTAAATTTCCCTAATCATTTTTAGTGACATTTTAAAACATATACAGGAATCACATTAATTAAACGTGTATTACTGTCGTTTTTAGACGATTCTCAATAAGAGATGCAAATTCATTTTGAATTTACTCTAAATAAATAAAACAATGATTACTATGTAGCTATACCTTTCCAGTTCTCTGTAAAACTCG